AAATTCATTGTCAATGAGCAGTTCTAGGCACTGGACATTTTGCCCATCTGCTGCTGAGTGAATTGGTGTTAGCCCACTTTTCCGGATCGCATTTGTGGATGTTACTGGGATAAGATATTTCAATGCACTGAAAAGAAAAATAAATCAAACATCCACAAGGCATGAAGACAATCGAGAAATTAATTAAACCAGCTTCCTCATTAGACAAATGAGTGCAGTTTGTTTTAGTTTTCTTTATTTCTGCTAGATAACCTTATACAAAGACATATAATCTTTGTCCATTGACTTACTACTATTGGGTTTAGTGTAATGTAGTTTAGTTTTTATTTAGCTTCCTGTTCTGAATGTTCCTGGGGATCACATGTTTGGCCCTAGAATTTTGGCTCCTCAGGAACCCTCCCCATCTTCCAATTCTTCTCCGAACAACATACAAGTTACCAGCAACCAATGCTATTTAATGAAAACTATAAAAGAAAGGTAAGCCCATCCGAAGCCATAGACAAATGCTTCATAAGCCTGACCATTAGAATCATGGAGTCACGGGAAATTAAAGCTGGAAGTGGCCTTGAACATCACTCAGTGCAACTCCTTCATTTAACAGAAGAGCAATATGAAGCCTGGAGGAAGGGAAACGACTTGTCCAAGGTCACATAGATGTGGAGCAAGGGTGAGATTTTAGGCCTCTTAAATTCTCATTCATTACTCCTCCTTCACCATTTTCTGAGCTACCCACGCTTTATCATTGGCCATGAACATCCTGTCTACTTCAGTATAACTCAAAATGGAATTATTAGCCATAAGATGATTCTTTCTTATTTCATCAACCTTATAACAGTCCACTTGAGAGAACTAACCACTGCTTATGTTTCTAAGAACTTGTGATAGCTGTAAATTCCACACTTGACTGACCAACTAAACATGTATGAGAGCCACCAGCAAGGATAACTTGATCTCTGGTGCCTAACTCAGAGCTACCATGTGTGAATTTATGAACACTGGGAACAAAGCCAGGTAAACTTTAACAACGTGTCACTTAGCATTAATTATGTCATTGCCACTTAGCTGATGTGGCCACTGAAGGTGACAAAGCCTAAGTATTTCAAAGTTTTGGAACTTATTAAATATATTCCATTGCCTAAAACCAACCCCTCATTGCAGGTAGTTTAATATAATGATTATAGACTTCTATTGATATGCCAATTGTGGCACTTTTGTGATTTAAAAATCTATCCAGCCATTTTTTTTAATAAAGAACTCTATACTTATAATGAGACTTTTCTACTCAATAATACATTTAACATTATACTATAATATCCATTCATGTTGCTAAATAATTAGAGTAATACCGATAGCATTTTCACAAATTTTAATTCTTTTCAAAGGGCAACATTTTTAGAAACTCTATAGCCTTTTATGAACACAGTTAAAAAAACAGGACGACATATTTGGATGGCTTGTGAAGAATTCTCATGTGTAACTTCCCTCTAAAAGAGAAACTCTTCATTATAAAAGTACATAGTATACATTCAATGTGGAAAATTTATAAAGTACAAAAATATATTATGATGTGTATTGGTGTGGGCCTCTTTGGAGATGGGTGAAAAGGGTAAAAGGATTAAGAAGTACCAACGGGCAGTTATAAAAATAGTCATGGGATATAAGTATAGCACAGGGAATAGAGTCAATAATACTGTAAGAACTATGTGTAATGTCAGATAGCTACTAGACTTGGTGGGGTGAGTACTTCACAAGGTATACACATGTCTAAACACTATGATGTACATCTCAAACTAATACCATGTTGTATGTCAACTGTAATTGAAAATTTTTTAAATTGTTAAAAAGCAAAAATATAAAAAGGGGAAAAATTGACATGTTTAGAAGACCAAAAAATTTGAACATTTTGCCTATTTCTTTTTGGATTCGGTGGGTTATTACTTACAGAGAATTATGATTCAATTATATATGCAATTTTGTATTTTTTTAAGTTAAAATGACCATCCTATGATTGATCACTCACAGGTAATGTCCCTCGTAGGCAGCTCGGTGTATAGGAAGGTGCCCTGCTCTGTTAGGCACATTTCCGCTTCCTCCATATTCCAGCAGGAGAGAGATGCAGTCAGGATTGCCCCCTCCTGCCGCCTCAAACAACACTGACGCCCCATCGTCCGCCAAAGCAAACACGTCACCCCCTGGCAGTATGAACACATGGCACAGTGATAACTGGGTGGACTGGAAAGATGGGCTCCTTCAAATTAGACGGTTGTTTTCCTTTCTAGTTAGGACTTCAAATTAAAAGTATAGAGTTAAGAACGTCTACATTCTCAATATCCTATATAATAAAAGGTTAATATGCAAATCGACCAAATGGCAGAACTAACCGTTGCTGTGATGCACACTGACCACTAGGGGGCAGACACTCAGTGCAGGAGCTGACCCCTGATGGTCAGTGTGTTCCCACAGGGGACGCACCGTTCAGCCAGAAGCCCTGAGCTGGGCTCATAGCTGGTGAACACAGTGGCGGTGGCGGGAGCCTTTCCCGCCTCTACAGCAGTGCTAAGGATGTCTGACTGCCTGCTTAGGCCCACTACCCAGGTGGAGCGGACCTAAGTGAGCAGTCAGACATCCCCCAAGGCTCCCAGACTGTGAGAGGGTACAGGCCAGACTGAGGGACCCCCCTCCCCTGAGTGCACAAATTTTGTGCACTAGGCCTCTAGTTTTTTAATAAACAATTATGCAGCATGTTTTATTTTATTAGAAAACCTTTGCATCATTAGAACATCTGAGAAATAAGTCAATTTCTATAACAAATGCTCCTGGGAAAAGACCAACAAATGTTTACCAACTGTGCTGTATGTGGAAACACTGGGTGTGACTCAACAGAAGAACCTAAGATAATAAATCTATTTTAAGAAACTCAGAGGGGAAATGAAACAAACAAAAAAAATCATCAAAGAACACAAACTATAACATTCACCCAACATCAGACCAGCAGGTTCCATGTAGGGGAAAAGGTCTGTGCTTGAAGTTCGGCTCTGCGGCTGACTGTGGTAGTTGGGGAGAAGCTACTTACTTTGCATGAACCACATCTCCCCATGTAAACTAGGGTGCACAGCTTCTGTTATAAGACTTATTTAACAACTAAATGAGGCTGCACTTTGAGGGCCTCAAAAATGTTAGTCTTTTCCCCAGAGATGACCCTTGGGGATCCTGTGGTCCTAGCCTTTATTTACGGATGAGGAAAGTCAGAACCAGATGTTTAAGTGACTAAGCTAGGGGCAGACAATGAGTGGGTAGCAGAAACCAGTTTCAGAATTTGGTTTCTTAATTCTTTTTTTGAAAGAATATATTTATTGATTTCAGAAGGGAAGAAAAAGGGGGAGAGAGATAGAACATCAATGATCAGAGAGAATCATTGATCGCCTGCCTCCTGTAACCCCCACACTGGGGATTGAGCCCACAACCCGGGCATGTGCCCTGACCAGGAATCAAACCGTGACCTCCTGGTTCATAGGTCCACGTTCAACCACTGAGCCACGCTGACCAGGCTGGTTTCTTAAGTCTTTAATTCTTAATAAAGCACTTGGAGGTTTCAAACATCACAATCTGTTGGGCAGAATCAGGGAAGGCTTCGGGGAGGAGGCGTCTCAAGAAGTTGATTTTGAATTATGTTGGACAGAATTCCAGATGAAGGCAAACATCTGACTCTGACCCAGATGCGGGATGGGAGGCATGCTGGGGAGCAGCATCTACTTTGGCTGGAGTGCAGGATGCATGTTGGAAGTAGTGAGGGTTACACCTGGTGAAACCATCCGGAATGATGGGGAGGGGGCCTGTGTATGCCGCCGTGGGCAGTGGGGAGCCACTGAGGACTCTTTGCTGATTTACACCATTGCGCTGTCCTTCAGGCGAGGAGCTGAGTACAGCATGCAGTAAATAGTCTCTGATGGGGAGACGGGAAACCTGGAGAACAGTTAAGAAATGACTGCAAGGTCCAGAGAAGATGTGAGGGGCCTGACCAGGATGCAAACCAGAGGGACTGCCAAGGAGAACAGGTGAGTGGGACGCGGCAGCATTCTGCACCTGACTGGGTTTGGAAAAGAAGGTGATGGAAGAAGTAGAGATAAATCTACTTGTCTCAGAAATCATTAAATCAGAAGTGTGAATGAAGAGGAATTCCGTTACAGTGGTTCTCAACCTTCTGGCCCTTTAAAACAGTTCCTCATGTTGTGACCCTCAACCATAAAATTATTTTTGTTGCTACTTCATAACTATAATTTTGCTACTGTTATGAATCGTAATGTAAGTATCTGATATGCAAGATGGTCTTAGGCGACCCCTGTGAAAGGGTGGTTCGACCGCCAAAGGGGTTGCGACCCACAGGTTGAGAACCGCTGGTTTAGGAGAAGATGAGTGTGAGACCCTGGGAGCCGTCTATGTGAAAACGGGGCTGTTTTTAGAGAGAGCAATCTGAGCTAGGCGTGCAGATTTGCAGGTAAGTGTGCATATGGTTTAGTTGAGCACTTGCTGGTTTGGCTCAGTGGATAGAGCTTCCGCCTGTGGATTGAAGGGTCTAGGGTTCTATTTTGATCAAGGGCACATGCTTGGGTTGCATGCTTGATCCCCAGTAGAGGGCGTGCAAGAGGCAGCTGTCCAATGATTCTCTCTCATCATTGATGTTTCTCTCTCTCTCTCCCTCTCCCTTCCTTTCTGAAATCAATAAAAAAAAATTTTTTTAAATATGTATTTTTAAAAATATTTTAAAACTTGAGTTGTGGAATAGGGGACCACTCGGGAGGTTGTCGAGAGCTGGGTACCAAAGCCGGATGCCCGGTTACTTTCAGAAGAGGAAGAGAAGCCAGCAAGGAATGGAGAAAAGGAGACAAGCCAGGAACGTGGAATTCCTGGCCACGTACCTTTGTGGATGAGGTGCTCCAACACGTCGCAGTGGCCGTACTCGGCAGCGACCCCTAGCGGCGTGACTCCGAAGCCGTCTCTCAGGTGCACGCTGCCGCCGTGCCTCAGCAGCAGAGCTACCAGGTCTTTGCGGCCTTGCTTGGCTGCCTCGTGCATGGCCGACCAGCGCTTGACACCGGGCTGGTCCAGGCTGCTGTCTTGCTTGAGCAGAGCAGACACCATGTCACAGGAGCCCCCTCTTACCGCTTGAAGAGATTTTTAAAATGACAATTGACAGCAGGCATAGGAACATGAATGTTAGATGGTGTTAACGTTATCCATTTTAATATCAAAAGGGAATATTGTATTTTTCACCTCCACTTCAGTTCTTATACCCAAATTTTCATTGCAGGCCCTAGCCGGTTTGGCTCAGTGGATAGGGTGTTGGATTTTGGACCGAAGGGTCCTGGGTTTGACTCCCGTCAAGGGCGTGTATCTAGGTTGCAGGCTCCTCCCTGGCTGGGGCCCTGGTAGGGCAAGAGGCAACCAATTGATGTTTTTCTCTCACATCCATGTCTCTCGATGTTATTTTAATTTTGTTAATGAAGAAATTAAAATTTAGAAAGAATATACACAACATCTTATCTTAGCAATGTGCACTGTTTATCATGAAACTTTTAAAAAATATATTTTTATTGATTTCAGAGAGGAACGGAGAGGGAGAGAGAGACAGAAACATCAATGCTGAGAGAGAATCATTGATCGGCTGTCTATCGCATGTCCCCTACCGGGGATCAAGCCATCAACCCAGGCATGTGCCCTTGACTGGGAATTGAACTGTGACCACCTGGTTCATAGGTCGACACTCAACCACTGAGCCACACTGGTGGGCTAGATATAAATATTCCTAAAAGATGTAATGCATTTTCTCTTATCAACAAGTAAAATCTTATTAAGAAACAGCAGGATGAATGCCGCTCCCTGCAGATGGAGATAAATACAGATTCATTCATTCATTCATTCATTCATTCATACAATACTTGCCGTGATATGAAAGGCACTGTTCCAGGCACTGTGGACAACAGAAAAAGACAGATGTTCCTCACTTGTGGACTTTACAGGTTAGGGAGGAAGGCTATCCTGTCTTGTGTTTGAAGAAAAACTCAGAGTCTGGGCCTTTGCTGGGAAAGGCAGGAGGAGATGTGGGGCCACAGAGAACATCCTGGGCACCCAGGAGGCAGAATGCAGAAAGGCCCTGAGGCCAAGCCAAGGGAGAGGGCACCCAAAGGCCTGAACTAAGGCCGAAGACAAGCTTTTGGAGGCAGGCAAGCCATCGCTGCAATGAGATTTCAGGTTTTGCCCTACTCACTGTCTAAATTAGAGTCTGTTGACAAATGCATTTCTCTGAAATCACCCACCTGCCACTGGCAGCTCTAATTACAGTGAATTACCTCATCCTAGCTGGTGTCATGGCAGAGCAAACATCAATAAGTCAAACCAACTAAGAGGTGTGTCCTCGTTTATCTTCTTGCTCCTACTGCATTTTTTTTCCTTTTGCCTGATTCAGAGAACATGTTGATTAGCGATATTAGTCTTTCTTCACGAGAACAACAGCATAGCTAGGCCACATCAACTTAAAATACTTTGAAAAATAAAACTTTGCTTGTAATTTACTTTTTTGGAAAGAATATGTTTTCTTTCCCATAAACATAACAATGCAAATTGTTGGGAGCCCCTCCCAAGTTAACCCACAAAGACATACCTCATCAATAACTGGCCGAATAATGAAAATTAACAAGACACTATATTTGTGTAACATAACCAAGTACAAATAATTTATGAAGTAAAAAATAAACATATATATCTTCAGTAATAATATTTTAAGAAAACCCAGTTTCAGTTCAGGAGTTAGAGAATTCCCATTAGAGATTTTTGCATAGTTTATAGGCACTTTTGTACATTTATCATCTGCTGGCACTTTTCCTGTTTAAATTCCTGTCACTTTCTCTGTGGGTATATGTGTTTTGCTCACATAATTTACTTGTCAGCAGTGATTTATTTTCTGATTCATATGACATACAAATAGAGCAGATTTTTCCGAGGTATCTTGACAGGCAATGGAAAATCTAAAGAGGCGATGGAGAGAAGAGAACTTATGTTGATTTGTGAGAAAGGAAATGCCCGAAGCATAACTAACTGGCTTCTTCTGTACCTTGGGCCCAGTGGCCAGGACAATCTCATGGCTATCTAATAGAGAAAGGTGACACCAACTTCAGAGACAGGGCAGAGAGGCAGTTTGAGTGCAAAACCCTTAAGTGTCAGGTCATCACAAATCAGGTATCTACCACTCAGCAAGTAACTGTGTAACATGACTGCAAGACATCAAAGTATCATAGCAAGGCCAGATGGCTGATGGACGGGCCCAAAGTGACTTTTGGGGGGCCGTTTATGGATATTAATAAATAAGTACGAGGATAATGGGATTGCCATTGCACAGAAAAAGAACAGCAGTTTTTTCTCTTATCTCTCCTTCATGAGTTAGTGGACTGTGAGTAGCAAATTTCAAAGCATCCCACAGATTCAAGAAGAAAATTGAGAAAGTGCCATGAATTATCCATTTCCCTATGAACCTAAAAAAACAATGTGGTTTCCACAATGAAGGTCCTGAAGAATTTAACCCAAGAAAAAATTCTTATTCTCCAGATATGTGGATGATGGGGACATAAGTGAACACCTCCAGAATATTTCCTTCATGAGACTCTTTGATATTACCATTACTTTTCTCTTTGATATTACCATTTGGTTTTAAATATATATTATTTCTAAATGTGAACTCTATTTTGACTGATAACTCCATGATCAAGTTCCTTTCCCACACTTTGGATGCTGATAGAGTAGACAAACCAACAAATGAAACTGAAATGCAAAGAAATGCTTAATGCTCTGTTGTGGGCACTAAGCATTTAACAATTTACACGAAGCAAAACGAAAACAAATGAGTGACAATTATGTGCTCTTTTTGAAATAAGTGGGTTGGGAACAGCAAGTAGAAACTAATTCTATATTTGCAAAATGCGATGAGAAGAAGAAGGAGGAGGAGGAGGAGGAGGACAACAAATGACTGAAATGCAAAGAAATGCTTAATGCTCTGTTGTGGGCACTAAGCATTTAACAATTTACACGAAGCAAAACGAAAACAAATGAGTGACAATTATGTGCTCTTTTTGAAATAAGTGGGTTGGGAACAGCAAAAGTA